TCTTGGGGAATAAATGGTGCCCAGAGCCCAACACAGCATGAACTCCCGATGTGACTCACATCTACCCTGCCGCACAAGCCAGGCTCCCTATTTCCCTCTTTCATCTGATACCTCCAGCCACCACCTGGCTTTGATGCCTCAAACCCTCCAAGGCTGGCAGAAGTCTCCTCAGGGTCCCAGATCACACATCAGCTTCCGGCCTGGCTTTGAGCCCTTCGACGGTGCTGTGAGCTAGCGAAAGGACTGGAGAGGAAGGTTTGGGAACAGACTCACCCAGGTTTGAAGCCCAGGTCCACTGCTTCCTGGCTGTGTGGTGTCCCTTGACAGACAGCTCCAGGCCAAGGCCTTTTCTTCACTCTCTGCAACAGCCCTCGGGAGCAGCAAGGCCGAAGACTTTGCAGAGCTGACACGCCCTGGCACTATTTTATTTTATTTTTTTATCTTATCTTACTTTATTTTTTTGATTAGCCTTGTACGGTGACTGTGGATAGGTCACTGGCCGTGCGGGTCATGCTCTCTCCCCCAAGCAGCCCTCCTGTCCGGAGCACTAGAGACCTCTCACAACATGGGCCCATCCAGCCTCCTTCGAGGCTGTCGTCCCCGTCCCCTTCGTGCTCTGAAGCAGACCAGTATTTGACCCGCGGACACAGGACTGTTTGCTAACCCGACACTCCCGTGTCCTTTCCTGCCTCCCTGACTCTGCTCAGGCTGTCCTGTCTGCCCCGCTCATCTTTGAGCTCCTGTGGCGAGCACTGCCTGCTCTGCTGCGCTCCCACTCGTTCTACCGGGATGAGTCCGCCCCTGGGGATGAGCTCCCCGAGAGGAGCGGCTGCAGTGGTGGGTCGAAGAGCGCATGCTCTGCAGAGGTGGGGCTTCCGTTCCAGCTCTGCCACTTCCTAGCTGTGCCACCTTGGAAAGCCGTTCAGCCACTTGTGCCTCATCCGTACGATGGGGATAATAGCACCTACCTCGTACGAGTGCCGTGAAGATAAGATGTGTGCAGTGTTGAGAACTGAACCTGGCACATGCTGGTATTATTTGCATGCCCAGCCCTGGTAACACAGGGGTGTGAATATTGAGAGTGCTGTGGTGGCAGTTTGTGAGTGTAGGTTGCTTGGCTCTGGGGCGGGTGGTGGGGAAAGGTTTATGTGTGGTGACTGAGCAAGTCCAATTGAAGGATGTGAATGTTACCTAGGAAAATTTCAAACACACACAGAAACATGGAGTAGTATAACGAACCCTGTGGACCCAGTGATCACCACCAATCATTATTGAGACTCCTGGTCAATCTTGTTCTATTTCCTGCTCCTTGCTCCCTCCCCAATACACATAGTGGATATTTTAAAGCAAATCGCAGTTGTGAAGAAAGCAATTCTATGCTTTACACTCTTAAAAGAGCTTTCAAGAAGGAAAAAAACAGCTATTTATTTTCCTCCTCCTATGGCTTGTGGCTTGTAAGCTAAATGACGGCGGCATCATTTTACAGAGGGAAAGGTTAGAGAGAGGTCGAGAGGTCAAGGGCAGCCAAGGGCCCCAGGATGCCAGGCCAGGGCTCTTCCCAGGACATCTGGGACAAACTAATCTTAATCAACTTTGAGCCAGCTTGAGATATCCCATCTCAAAAATCAAATAATAGCATCTTTTCCCAACTCAGAGAAAAAAAAAAATCAAGCTAATGAATGGAATTCTCAATGGCAAGTTCTCTCATATTTTCCTTAAACCTCATGGTCTCTGCATCCATTTTGTCTGCAGCTGAGTGCTGGTAGACCACAGAGTGAATAAACAAACAGTGGAAAAGATTAATGGAAAACCCTGGAAACAGCTGACCAGGGCAATCTGACAGCTTTCTGTGGACACATCTGCATGTGATTGTGATTATTTTGTAGTGGGGACTATACATGTTCTGCTGGTAAAATGGATCCTGCCTCGGGCTGAGATGATGAGCAGCACCAGGTTTGAGTCCTGCGTCTCCCAGGTGCCCTCCACCTGGTGGACTCCGGCTGCAGAGGGGAGGCGGGGCAGAGCCTGGCACTCACCTGGAGAGCCTGCCGGGGACTCCTGACACTCTAGCTAAGCGCCAATGCACAGTGGGTGACAGAATTTGCCAGGGAGGGGAGTGCAGCAAGCAGGTTGGTCCATTTCTGGGGCTGACACAGTAGTGAATCTAGCCAGGAAACAAGTTCTCATAACAAAAATTCCCCAGAATAATTTTTAAAAAATTTGACTTTTTTTTTTAAGGGATGAGAAAAGGGAAACATTGGTTTGTTGTTCTACTTATTTATGCATTTACTGGTTGACTCTTTTATGTGCCCCGACTGGGGATGGAACCCACAAACTTGGTGTATTGGGTCAACACTATAACCAACTGAGCTACCTGGCCAGGGCCCAGAAGGAGTTATTATTGAGCATCAGGCCAAAACAAACACCAACGCTGGGAACTGTTGAAGCACAGGTTCTCTTGGCTCCCTTTCACTGTTGGTATCCGCGCTTCTGTTGACTGATACCGCTCACCCATCCCAGAGTTAAAACATCAAAGTAAGAGCACACCCAGTGAAGCTCAAATCCCAGTTCTGAACAAAACCCTTTCAAGCTGTGACCTTCCCCACTGCTCTGCCATCTGAGCCTGAGCTGCAGCACGATCCCTCAGCGGTGGGCGCTCACTCTAAGATAGGACGCAGGCTGAGACCGGAAATGCGGAACCTGACTCAGGGTGCAGGTTGTAAAGAAGGAAGAAGGGAGGTGGACATTGACTTTCAAAGGCAATTAAGGGGGCTGCCAATCCGAGTTGAGGTGGGAACCTAAAGGAGGCTTCCTCTTCTCAGCGAGACCACCCAGCAAGGCCTGCCAGCGCACGGAGTGTGCCGTCAATGCCTCTGCCTCCCTCAGGGACCCGCACCGCTGGTTCTCAGGTGGCCAACCACTGGACTTGACCGCTTGGGGATGGCTGGTCTCTCCCTGCTTTTCCAGCATGTAAAGGCATATCTCACTTGAATTATCAAACTGGATGAGACTCAAAGAAAAACACAGCATAGAATTTTTAAATAATTTTATAATTTCCCAATGGATTTAGTTTGTGAATAAAAAAGAAAAAAATGAGCAAAGTGTTTACAATAATTATCAAGGCAAAATTGACTATAACACAATTTCTTTGTAGTGTCATTATCCTGTCAGTAACATGACCCAGCCACACCACACACACACACACACACACACGCGCGTGCACACACGCACACACGCACACACACACAGAGGAAGGCAGCGGGTGCATTTGCATCACAGAAACCACCATTGCGGCTGCTACTGTCACCAAAAGGAACTCAAGCTACAAGGAGTCAGTGACCAGTGCCCCCAGCTCCTCGCTGAAATGCAGCGCTTCTCTTCTGAAGCAGAAGGGTGGGAGCCCCAAGGAGACCCCAAGTCTCCATCCTGGACATCCTGGTGTGCGGGCAGGTTCGGGGCGAGTCCTGCACGGGGCAGGCAGGCCAGAGCGGGTGGTGTGCTGCCCCCAGGTGGGCCTCGCTGCACTGGAGGATGATGCAATACTGGTGTGGTATGGAAACAAGGGCTGGGCTCAGAGGGCAACTTGCTCTGGCCCAGGGTCTGATTCTCTGGCTTCAGCAAGGTTATGTCCTTTCCTGAACATGACATGTCAGGGGCCAAGACAGAAAGCCTGGGCCCAGGAGATCTGGGGTCTAAAAATCTTGAAGGGAAAGAATCTAGGACTGAAGCCAGAAGATCTGAGTATCATTCACTCCCCGGGACTGCAGGCTCTGGGCTGGCTGGCGCTTGGCCCATGTTAGATGGTCACTGGATGATATAGCACCAAGTGGGCAGGAAGGAGTTCTGTGGCCTGTAAGGGGCTGCTGCCAGGTGTGGGGCTTCATAGTGAAGCCCAGGTCACCACAGTATTAGGCACACTGAGCTTGGGCCAATGTGGGGGTGACAGCGGTAATGGGGTCATGAACTGAAACCTCTACCCAGAGGTCCTGAGGGTGCATAGGAGAGGTTGGCACAACCGGGGCTGAGCCCCAGATCCCCACTCCTTTCCTCAGCAGCTGTTGTCCAGCCAGGAGGTCACCTACCTGGACTGTGGTCCTTGCGCTTCCCAAGTGGCCAGCCCAGTGGCCACCTGAGCCAACTTGGGAGGAGAAGAGTTTAGTGGCCCCATAGCTTGAATTCCTTTAATATGATATTGGTTTGTATTTTTTTAAAACACAGCTCTTTAATTTTTCAGTTCTACAACTACTTTTTAATATCTTAATAATCTCAACAATGGACACAATGTAACTGCCCAAATTCTCTGAACCACACAGACAATATTGACAAGCAGAGAAACAGAAGAGGAGGTGGGATGGGACAAAACCCGTTCCCCTCAGGTCAGTCCCTAAAACCACCTCTCCTCCGACAGAGTCAGGAGGAGAAACACCTACATTAGGGTCACAGCACTCGCTAATACATTGGGAAAAAGTCAGGAGACACTTGGTTACAGTTTTGACACTAAAAAGTTTGGAAATAGTTTTTGCTTAAAAAGAGTATGTAAAGACAGCCATTTTGTTCAGAAGGATTTCCTTGTATGTTTTTTCTTGCCCAAGTATTCCCTTAGTTCACCTGGTGGAAAATTCTAGATTCTTTCAAAACATTTCTTTAAATGGTTCAAGTCACTGTCCTGAGAAGCCCAGGGACTGGCAGTGATGGATGGATGGGTGGCCTTTCAGGTTCTGCAAAGGGTGGCGAGCTGCCTGCATCCTCTTCTCATCTCTTTTCCCACAGTTCTGAACATTTGCAGGTGGGGAGATGAGGCGGGCGAAGCAGATGTGAAAGTTACTGATATTGCTGACACAGGGCCCACTAAAACTTAAGTGTCATGTGAGGGTCACATCCTGTGTGGTGACAAATTCCTTGATTTACTCTTTCCTCAAAGACCCTGAGGGTAGCCAATGGGCCTATGCCTAAGTAATGGGGTCAGACAGGAGGGTGGGGTGGCTCTGGGGTCAGCGGGACTCTCTAGCAGCAAATCCAGATGCCACTCATGGCCATCGACAGGGGAGGGGTTTATTTCCCGGTTGACTAAAACTCTGTGATGACGTCTCTTCCTTTTCTCTCTTTCACTCTTGAGGATGGGTGAGCTAATGAGCTCCTCGTGGAAAACCAAACACTTTCATTGCCAAAAAGGGCCATGTCACATTGCCCCTACCGACACCAAAGGTGGTCTTGAGTCCAGTTAGCCTTATTGGTATTTTTAAGCCCAAGTGTAAGAAAAAGAGAAAAGAACTTAGATCTTCTTTAGGTTGTAATGTATAAGGTCAAAGATTAGAATTGAGATGAATTGCAGGATTCCCATTCATATTTCGTAATATGTTAAAGCCCATTTAAAGTCTTTTCTATTTCAAATGGTATCCAATGTCCTTGTAAATCTCAATTCAGATACTTCATCAAGAACTCCATGAGTACCTGGGGTAGAGGTATATGAAAAGATGAAAGTCACATTGTATTTCTTTAGTCATGTGCTCCAGGTTGGATTGAGTGACCTTGTGAAACTCTGAATACCACAAGAAGGTCACAAAATGACAAGTCCTTGTGTGATAGGAATTGTGCATTTAGTTAATGCTAGCTCAATGAATGAGCTAAACTCAGTAAGATATTCTAAATGCTAGAAACTGTATTGACTTTGCCCCTGTAATGTAAATTCAGGTCATATTCACCATTAAGCTTTAGCTAGAGCCTATTTTCATCTAGGACTGGACAGTCCCCACATACTAGGAAGAATGAATGAGATCCCCCGCTATGGTTCATAGAGATCAGACAGATGATGTCTGGCCCCAGAAATTTTTCTTCTCAGCAGCACTTGTTTAGAGGACTTCCATAAAGTTTTAGAGAGAGAGCAATGGGGAGGGCTGAAATGAGAAGGGGAAGGAAGAAGGTGCAGTGAGAGTCACGCAACATGTGGGCAGGGGTGGCAGGAGTTGTATTTGAGGGTAAAGGCCGAATCGGCGGGACCCAGAAAGAGACCTGAGTGATGCCTTGTCAGACCAGCCAGACAACAGACAGCTGGTGCCAGGCCAGGCTACCCCTCTGGGCGTGGCCCCCTCTGCTTTCTCTGCTCTGCGGCAGTCCTGTGAAGGGTGCTATCATACTTCAGTTCTTTGCCTTATGGTATTTAAAGTGAGATTCTAATACTCCAGCCACAAAATACTGGGGGCTATCTACATGATTTATGGGCAGTGCAATAAATAAACAGAATTGAGGTAACTGACCGCAAATGATCACCAACTTAAAACCTAACCCCTGCACCCCCATTCTGGCCAGCCTTGCTATCAGGAAGCATCTCGGTAAGAAGTTTATGAGCAGAGTCCATTTAAACCTTTGATAAGGAACCCCCTACAACTTCTCACGGGGAGAGATCGTTTTAGAGCAGGGAGTCAGGACAGCTGGAGATCTGACCATGTGACTTAGTGAGACGGTCAAGGTTCGCTGGCGGGAAAGTACTGAACCGGTGGCTGTGACGTTACAGGCAGCATCAGATTCTTTTGGTTAGTAATTGGGAAAGGGCAAAGGAGAAAACGCAAGACAAAGACATTCAGCCGAGCAACTCTTCTCGGAAGATGTGAGCGCCTGGCCACAGAGGTGGTCAAAGGCCTAGATTTTGGTTCAGTGGCCTATGTCTTGGCGCCTGATGATGACTGCCATTGTCCACGCTTGGGAAAACCGCCCTTCAAAATGCCAATACCTCAAGTGGATTTGCAACTTTGGGGTCAATTTTCTGATTTGCAACATGGAGCTGGCCAAGTTTCATGAGGAGCACACAGATGTATCAGGAAAACACTGGCCACTATCACAGGCCCCTGAACAGTACACCCTTTCAGGGTAACAACATAAATGAAAACCCTCCATCACCAAACGGGGTCCTGCAGTCAAGGGAGTGACTCAGCTCCCAGCCCCGAAACTCATCAATTCCATTAGAGCGAGAAATGAGAAATGCTGTTTGTGAAAGACTGTTCTGGAAAAAGATACTTCTATTAAGATGGGGGAGGGGAAGGGGCCGCCTTTCACAGCTTTGACTTAAGCAGGTATGTCTCATAGACTCCTTTACACCTTTCCCTCACTGTTTTTCAAGGATGAGTGCCTAACAGTAGGCATTTCATAAATATTCTTTGAATGAAAGAATGGAGAAAGGAATGTGTGGGAGATGAGAAACATTCATTTCTGCCAGAAGGAGGTTCCAGGCAATGCATGAGGACAAGGTTCTAGGAGTGCAAATCATGAGGAAGGCTGCAAGAGTGGAAGGTGAGTCAGAGTTCAGTGAGCGCTGGGCTGCAAGAGCTTGAAGCACGGCGGGGGGAAGGCAGAAGCATGTTTTGCGGGGCTCAGGGGTGACGAGAGAGATGTTCAGGAGAAACCAGCCTGACCCCGAGGAATGCTCATCTATGGAAGCAGAGCTGGGGATGACAGTCCGCGTGTCAAACCCCTCTTCTCTTTCCATTAGATACATCATCTGACAAACTAAGTAAAAAGCCACAGGTCCTACACAAGAGGGACTAGGGGGAGAACTGCTTGCATTGCCCTCCTGTTAACTGGCTGAGGAGAGGGGCACGGCTGAGTGAGAAGGACAGGCTGGGGCATTAGTGTTCACGGGGCCACAGGGAGGCCTGCTTGCAGCTCGCCTGCCTGAAACACTGCAGATGAAAAGTAAACACAGAGACAGTAAAAAGAGGAGTTGGTTTTCTCTTTGTCCCTATTCCCTCTTTTCCCCTCTTTCTTTTTCTAATAATATCTCTGAGGTTTTTTTTATACCTTTTTAGGAGAAAGCACCTATTGTGATATTAGGACACTCAGCTCTCTTGTCCATGGGGAAGCATTCTCTCAGTATGTTGAGCTCCAAGCAGATTCCAGATTTAGTTCTCACATCAAGGGCAGAAGGTAAGAGGCTCCCTACTCCATGTCCCTCTGTGAGGGCAGAGCACCAGCTTCCAGAGTTCTTCACTGTTGACGACTAGATGGCAGTTCTTCACAGGGACTTGGCCGCTTACTCACCCAGGACATCAAAAAAATGAATGTAGAGAAAACATCCCAAGAAGAAAGGCAGAGTAAGGTGACAGACGTAGAAAGGTGCTGGAATCACACTTGCAGGACTAACCAAGGGAGGACAGAGTTCGTAGTGTTCGCACGGCACCTGTTCCTTGTAGCTCTCCTTCCTTGGCTCCTGGGTGCACTCTGTTGGGCTGCGGGGCTCGCCACTCTCCGTGGAGCAGGGTCAGGAGGACTCCTCCAATGCGTTGACCACCTGCTCCAGGATGTCGGGGCAGTGGTCTGCTATCTGCTGGAGAATGGCATTGGCAAACTCCTGCAGCTCTGCATTGTCCCGCTCAACTTTTTCTAACTCCTTTTGAAGCTGAAAGGGAAAGGAAAGATGGATTTCAGATCAAATAAAACAACACTATTTGCACTGAGTTAAGAATTCTTATTTATCAATAAAGAAATGACGTTTGCAATAACATGGATGAACCTGGAGGGCATTATGTGAAGTGAAGTAAGCCAGGCAGAGAAAGACAAGTGCTGCAAGGTATCACTTAAATGTGAAGTCTGAAAACAAAGAAAAAGCCAAACTCATGAAATCAAAGAGGAGAATAGTAGTTGCCAGTGTGCTGGGGAGTGGGAGAAATGGAGAGATGCTGCTAAAAGGGCACAGACTTTTGGATACAAGATGAATACAGTCTGAGGCTCTAAGGCTAAACAAGGTGACAATGTTGATTATACTGTACCGTATAATTGAAATTTGCTAAGAGAGTGTAACTCCAGTATTCTCATGAAGAAAAGAAGGAACTATGTGAGATAACGAATGTGCTACCTTGATAGTGCGAATCCTTTCGCAACGTATATGCATATCAAATCGTTGTGTTGAACGCTTTAAATACACTACACTTTCATTTGCCAATTACACCTCAACAAAGCTAAAGAAAAAGGAATGACAAAAGAGACACTCACTATGTCAGGCCTTCCTGTATCTAAATGAACAACCAGGAAAGTGTGAAAGTAAATATCAAATGTCTTTTCATGAGAATGAGGTCCAAGGCAGTTAGTGGCTCATCCAAGTCCCAAACACGGTAACTTGCAGAGCTGGGACGCCAACCCCGGGGCTCTCATTCGAGGGGAGCGTTCTCTCCCTGTGCCATACTGCCACGCATCGCATGGATGATCCCAGACAGGATCTTAATCTTGCATAATGGTCCTTGACCTAGGAAAACTTATGATTTGAAAGACTTCCCCTATTTCTATGTACCACTTTTATTCAGTGCATTAAACTACCCTACCGTAGGCCCGTTAATTTAGACATGAGGTAGTCTTTTGTTTGTTTAGGAGTAAGTATATTTCTAACTTCTTATTGTTCTAAACATCCTCTTAGACATTCCTCAGGTATTAAACCAACAATTATTAAGGGCCTGGATTTGGTTCTTGCCCTCAAGATCCATTTAGATTAATTAAAAAACCAAACATATAAACAGATAATTACAACCCAGGATGGTAAGGGCCATAATAACCAAGGCATGAACACATACTACAGGGTAGAGGTAAGAATGATGCTGTCGTCTTGGAGGAATCTAAGAAGATGTTACTAAAGGCAACATATGATTTGGATCTTGAGAGCTGAATAGGAGTTTGTCTGGGAGATCAAAGACAGCAGAGTCTTTCCAGAGGTGAAACAAGTACAGATACGTAGAGCTATGAAAGGGCTTGGCACAGATCTCGGGAGGAGTGAGGCATTCAGTATGGTGGGAGCATAGGGAGACAGTGGGTGGAGAATGACAGGAAATGAAGCTGAAGAGAGAGACTGGGGTCAGCCTATGTATGTGAAGAGAAGGGTTCAGATTTAATCTAGTTCAAACAAAAACAATAACAAAAGGAAGTACAAGAGGTTTTGAACAGTACAGAGACATGATCAGCTTCATTTTCTTAGAAGATAGCTATAAAGATAAAAACATGTGAGACTGAATGGAAAAAGAATGGTTCTGGGGGAGGAGAATTGTTACAAGCACAGGTGAAAGTTAAGGAGAGTTAAAACGAAGGTAGGGCCTGGGGACAGGGACAGGAGCAGCTGAATGTAAGACTTTCCAAAGGTGGGACTGATAAGAGGTGGAGTTACGTGACAGAGAATGGAGAATAATTTTGACAGTTCTAGCTGGGGATATTAGGCAAATAAAACTGAAAATACGGGATGCAGAGCAGGTTTCAGGGAAGGAGGGAAATTAAAAATTGAGTTTAAAGTGTGGTTAGGAACACAAGCTCCAGACAGTTAGGCTTCCTGGGTTTCAACGTCAGCTCTGCCAATTATTAGTTTGTATGACCTGGACCTCTCTGAGCCTGTTTCCTCATCTGTAAAATGGGGCAATAACATTTACAGGGTTGTTTTAAAGATTTAATGAGATGTTTCTATAAGGTGCAGTATAATGCCTGACACATAGAAAATACTTGATAAATGTTAGATGTTGTTATAGTTATCGTTACTGTTTCTAATTAATTCCGTAAGATTACCCAAAAGTCCATGTAGATTAAAAAGCAAAGAGAACCAAGTTCTAACTACAGTGCTGATAGACTCTAGAGGCTCTGAGCCAAGAACTAATATGCTGCTTCTTCAAATATATCAAAGAGCTAGGAACAGATTCAGTACCCTCCTTTCTGCTGACTATTGACTAAGATCAAGACATGCAGGGCTAACTTTAGACCACACTAAGTCTTGGTTAATAACAAGGCCTGGCTGTGTCGTATAAACATAAATCTCTGAAATGGGGAAACCAAGGAAGGCTGGTGCCTTGTCAATATAGCTGAGCAGAATATAATCCAGAAATACTGCTGTGTGGAAAGGCAAGTCTCTTCAGTGGAACTGAAGCCAGCCACTTAAAGTGAGTGAGGACAATGTCAGGCTGTATTGCTTCAGAGTATTCCCAGGAATATTCTGAATGACTTTGGTTTATATCCTGAGCCAGGTATCTGTACTTGACTCTCTACAAGTCACACATTTATTTTCCATGAAATATTTTAAAGTTTTATTTGGCTTCTGTTAAGTAAATTAAAAAGAAGTTACCAGTGGGTACATTTTATTTTAATAACACTTTTCAGGGTTTTTTTTTTTTTTTAAATTTAAGAAGTATTACATATGCATTGTAGAAAATTTGGATAAGAAAAGCACCAAGAAAAAAAACACAACATTAACATCAGGAGATAACCACTGCTATATATTTTGTCATATATCCTTTGAGGCTTTTATTATACATACATGTAATTTTGGAAACAAAATGGCAATGATATTACAGATTGATTTTGTTTTTACCTAAAAGTATACTATAGATATATTTCCAAATCAATTCCTAAAGACTCTTTTTGGAACTTGATAACTGATTCTAAAAATTATCCTGAGGTATAAATATATAAGAGGAGTCAAAAATATTTCAAAGAAAGAAAAATGACTTAGGACTTGTTCTACTGGATTATGAAACAGTACAAAAGTATATTAGTTAGAAGTATTATATTGATAAATTTTGATCAGTGGGATTTAGAATATGATCAGGAAACTTTAGAAATCAATGACTATTTTAGGTTGTCTGGGCCCAGTTGCATTTATATTCCTGCTCATACCATACATAAACATAAATTTCAAAGTGGCTCAATATCCAAATTTAAAAATTACGGTGTGAATACACATTCTTCTCAAGTGCACGTGGAATGTTCTCCAGGACAGATCATATGTTATACCACAAAACAAGTGTTCACAAATTTAAGAAGACTAAAATCTCATCATGCATCTATTCTGACCACAATGGTATGAAACTAGAAAGCAATTAAAAGAAGTGAACTAAAATAGTCACAAATATGTGGAGATTAAACAGTATGCAACTAAAAAACCATGTAGTTGAAGAAGAATAAAAAAAGAAGTAAAATACCTTGAGACAAATAAAAATTGAAATATTGTACAATCCACCAAAATTTATGGGATGCAGCAAAACAAGTTCTAAGAGGGAAGGTCGTAGAGATAAATGGGTACATTAAGAAAAGAAAAAGATTTCAAATATACAAAATAACTTCACACCTCAAGGAACTACAAAATGAAGAACAAACAAAGCCCAAAGTTAGTAGAAGGAAGGAAATAACAAAGATCAGAATGGAAGTAACTGGTTTAGAGACTAAAAAGATAATGGGAAAGATCAATAAAACTAACAGCTGTTTTTGAAAAGATAAACTAAATAGACAAACCTTTAGCTAGACTTACCAAGAAAAAAAAAAAAGACAGAAAGCTCAGATAAAATCAGAAATGAAAGAGATGTTATAACTGATAGCAAAGAAATACAAAGAATCATAAGAGATCACTATGAACAACTGTATGGTAACAAAATGGAAAACCTAGAAGTGGATAAATTCCTAGTAACATAAAACATACCAAGATTGCATCATGAAGTAATAGAAAATCTGAACAAATTGAACACACTACTAAGGAGACTGAATCAGGAATCACCTCCCAACAAACAAAACTCAGGACCAGATAGATGGCTTCGCAGGTGAATTCTACCCCACATTCAAAGAAGAATGAATACTAATCCTTCTCAAACTCTTCCAAAAAAAAAAGGAAGTGGAGGGTAAACTTCCAAACTCATCTTACAAGGCCAGCATTACCCTGATACCAAAAATAAACAAGGACACCATATGAAAAGAAAACTGCAGGCCAATATCCATGATAAACAGTAATGCAAAAATCCTTCAACAAAATATGAGTAAACCAATTCAACAATTCATTAAAAGGACCATACATACACCATAATCAAGTGGGATTTACTTCAGCAATACAAGGGTAGTTTAAAATCTGCAAACCAATACATGTGATATACCACATTAGAAAAGTGAAGGATAAAAATGTATGATCATCTCAATAAATGCAGAAAAAGCATTTGACCAAATTCAACATCCATTTATGATAAAAACTGTCATGGAAGTGGATATTATAGAGAAATGTACCTCAACATAATAAAGGCCATCTATGACATGCTCAAAGCTAGTGTCATACTCAATGGTGAAAGGCTGAAAAGAAAGCTTTCCTTTAAGATCAGGAGCAAGATAATGATGCCACTTTGTCACTATGATTCAACATATTATTAGAAGTCCTACCCAGAGCAATTAGACAAGAAAAAAAAAAAAAGGCATCCAAGTAGAAAGAGAAGTAAAACTGACAATATTTGCAGATGACATATTATATATAGAAAACTCTAAAGACTCTACAAAAAAACTGTTAAAATTCTTAAACAAAATCAATATATAAAAATCTGTTGTGTTTCTATATACAAAAAAAACAACAACTCAGAAAGACAGAGTAAGAAAGCAATCCCATTTATAATTGTATCAAAAGGA